TAATTGAAAGGTGACTAATAAGGCGTATAAACTGATCACGCGGTCAGAGCTACAAGCGTTTCCGCACCCAGTTTTTATCGACAAAATTTGTATCGACGTGGGCCTTGCAACGACCAATATGCCCCTGATCCTCCTCGACGGCAGTATGGAACGCTAGGTGACGCGTTTTAAGGCCGCACTGGTCCTATGGACATGGCCGCCACCTGCGAAGAAGCAAATGCTGGAAGGGGACTGTCTGAATGCAGTTCTCAGGGAGAAAAATGGACTCCCGACCTATTTGAAGGATTGTTGGCCCGATGGCATTGCGAGAACCGAAGCTGCCTACAATTCAATCAGCAATGGAGCTCCCTCTTCAATGTTGCAAAATAAGTTATTATGCTGTTATTGGGACCTGAAATCCAATCTTGCTCATCTTTGCTGTTGGTCACTGGGCAGCTCTCAAGCTTTTGCGATGTTTGTGATGGTTTAAAGTGGGCTCATCGCAACTTTGAAACCATGCTGCTTAAATGCAGTTTGCGGTTTGTGATCAATTTCAGAGCGTACCTCATCGTGATGCTGGTAGTACGGCGGGTGATCAGTCATGACCGCATCAACTGTTCTACACGGCGGTGATCGGCTGTTGTGCAGGCGTGACTGCATCAACTGTTCTACACGACGGTGATCGGCTGTTGTGCAGGCATGACCACCCCAACTCTTCTACACGGCGGTGATCGGCTGTTGTGCAGGCATGACTGCATCAACTATTCTACGCGGCGGTGGTCGGCTGTTATACAGGCATGACCACATCAACTGTTCTACACGGCGGTGATTGGCTGTTGTGCATGCAGCCAAGGAGATAATGAGGACTGCATCGTACAGTGGAGACGGCAAGCATCAACTGTGCTATTCTGCGGCTCCAAAGGTTGTGATGTTCAGAAAAATTCCAGAGGGTAACTTGCATGGTGAATATCGTTGGCCGGCGTGTGCCCAGTCGATATGTGCAGCAAGTTATGCAGTAAGTTGTCCAATCGTCCGGTTTTAGACTACCCAATCGCCGTCAAGTCCTCCACCTACCATGCTTGCGTCTCTCAGGCTTTCCGAGCATAGTTAATCATAGCAGAAGGTTCTCCGACCGTAGGTCTTTCGGGCTCTCTGAGGCTCTCTGAGCTCTCTGAGCGTAGGTCTCGCGTGTGTAGGCATTCCTGGAGTGGCTTTTCGGATGACAGGTCTTCCGAGGTTAGATATTCCCAGCGGTAGGTCTTCCAAGCTTAGGTGTTCCAGGAGAAGGTCCTCTGGGCTCAGGTGTTCCCGTCGTAGGTATTTCACGTCGTGGGTCCTCTGGAAGTGGGCGTTCTGGGCTGATCCCGTGCCCGGCGGCCGCATGTTCGCGCTTGGTCCTGTTGGGCTGTGCGGTTGGATGGCGCTTTGTCGAGCTGGTGCGCTGCTTGATACGTCCCCCGGCGATGGCTGCTTCAGATATCTCCTCACACAGCCTTAATGACATACAGCCTTCCTGGAAACGCTGCTGGCGGATGGGAAACTCCTTACCGTGATGCCTCAAGAGAGGCAGCGGCCGGGCGACAGGGGAGGGGGAGGGGCGGGGGCGTCGTTGCGACGTGACGATGGTCTGGGGAAGGGGAGGGGAGGGCAGACAGCGCGGTATCAGCGCGGTCCGGCAGTGGTGGTGTGGTGCGCGACTGAGCAGGCCGCAACCTTAACAGCGTGGTGACGATGGCTCCGACGGGGCACCGCAGCCGAAACGACGTCCCGCACGCCGCTGCTGGCTGGCGAGCCGCAGCCCACCCTGCATACCGTCCGCTTCGGCGACCCCCAGAAAGTGTGGTATGGGTACGTACGCCGACCGGGGGGCACCTGTCCACACCGACAGCGCGTTTGTGCCGGAGAAGACCGGCCCTGGTAGAGAGATTGGGCCTGCCGCGAAATGGTACGCGAGTTAGAGTTGTTGAATGCGGTGTCATGCTCTAGTTCATTTGGTCCATTTGTTTTTTACTGGAGCTTGACGCTGTAATCATCCAGCGAAGTTTTGTCTTCACGGAGTCTGAATGTGAAAGTGACAATGCAAGCTGGTATGTTTGAATTTGAATATAACGCCTGTATGTTGTTTGGAGTGAAGTTTGTCTCCGATCGTTATTTAATGTGTCTGCCTTGGTTCCAAAGAAGTCAAGCAAAAAATGGCAGGATAATTTGTCTTGCCCCCCCCCCCTTCCCCGCCCCCATCATCCATACGTGACGTCGTAAGGCATATGCCTGCTTTAGTTTCAAACAAGCCAGGAAAAAGATGGGGGATAATTTTTCCTTGCCCTCCCCCCTCTCATCCACGCGTGACGTGATTTATGGATGATCCCTTATGGATGTCGATGTTCTATAGCTGTGGTTGTTGTATAAGCGCCGTTTAGCTCTGTCGTCGTTGTTGTATAACTCGGTAGCCGTTGTATGGATCGGTATCGCATGACTCGACACTGTCTTGCTGCTGGTCGTTGTCATACCAACGGCAAGCACGAGCCTGCGTCGCAAGAAAAGCAACTGCGGCGGGCAGCGAGCGGTGGCTTTAAGCAACTGAGTTATTTTGTATTTCATAGGTTTGAAAGTACACATTGGCCCTTGGCGTTTTCTTCTTCTTTTTTTTTGCTCGGAGAAACTGACAGTGTCTTAATTTCTTCCTGCCTTCATTATGGCAGTGATTTAGTTTATATAATTGGGGAGACTGCTAACGTAAAAGTGGAGGTGCTGTCACGATTTGCGACTTGAAGCTGAAGTGCTGTTTAAAACCTATGAACCTAAAAACCTAAAAACCTTAAATTTGGTCTGTCCAATCCGTCTGAGGTTTTTTTTAAAAGAAATCATGATTTCATGTGGCTACAATCCAATCGACACCGAGTCAGAAGGGAATTTTTGAACAACCATATGAGGCCTTTCAAAAAGAGGCAATAACACCCAGACGTAGCCATTCATTTCACCTGTGAGATCTGCTACAATTGGTCAGGTCCACGGCCTGCCCGAATGCGTATGGCACGATACGAAAATCAACATTAGGACATAACCAGATCTGTGTTAAGCACCTTGGAACCATTTATATATGACCGCATGCAAGGAGGTGGAAAGGGTTGGTAATGGTTTGATTTGGCGCGAATGAAGGGCGGGAAGGGGAAAAGGGGATTGGGCAGCGCAGTGTTCGCTCAGTTGTGGCTGCAAATTATACATAAGTCTTTTTAAAAGGTGTTTTGAAACATTGAAGCCGGGTACATACCCTAGCTCTCTCGGGGTCAAAGGGACCTTGCCTTTTTGGGACGTTCGCCTGAAGGAGGTGTTCCGCATTTGTATGGGGTCTTAAAATGAAATAGCCATCCTGAAGATCATTCGGTGCAGTCCACAGCCCTGCCCTTCTTAACACCTAATCATCTAGTCTTTGAGCTTCATGCATGCGAAGAGGTGCGGACTTTTTTTGCGAATTGTTACAAGGCACCCAGGCATCCATGGCGCCATAGAATGTCATTGAAACCCCGCCATTCCACTGGCCGTGAAGCGTTCAAGGCCATGAAAAATATGATTGTTGAGTCGCTCCTATCTGGCGCTCGTGAGCACGATCTCCACATATCACGACGCCAATTGGCTTTCAACTAATGTACGAGCTCTGCAACATTGTAGTGCGAACTACGTTTTGCGCCTCGTAATACAAGAAGCTTAGATAAGACAGTAGTCATAGCCTTATTCCTCGGAAAATAGCCAGGAGAATGATAAGTTTTCGTCAGGCAATTTTTGATTTATTACCGATATTCGTTTCGATAAAGGCATGTTGCCAAAATATCAGCGCGTCTATGTCTCCATCCTCCTGGTCTTTCCCCGAGGAATAAGTCTACTCCTACTGTTTTAACCGTGAATCGTGTCCCTCACTTTTGCACTTCACAATTTACATAACACGGGAAGCTTGCATTCTCCCTAATTTTACGGAAATAAGACTTGTAATCAAATAGCATATGAAAAACGCCATACCTGAACGTTTGAATGCAAGTAAGCACCTTAAACCCACGGATAAATTCGTAAGACCATCACGAGATAGGGCCAAAGTACAAGCACCTAACGATACTTAGTTCAGTGCTCATGCAGTACCGCCTTGGGCCACTTCTCGGGAGATGAAAAACCGCAAGTGAGTGCTGTCATCTAAACGCTCCATGAAGCGATCAAACAATGGTGCTTTGAGGAGCATGTTTACCAAATAGAAAAATTGCGTTGTCTAGCGCTGTCTTTGCCATAAGCAAACCAATCCGTGTAAGTTAGCTTATTTCATCATATATGATGCCTCATATATGATCTTTCATCATAGATGGTCTTCAAGCTTGAAGCATTCCGTTTAGCACAACGTATTCATTGGGATAGGTCTTCGCTGACCGTAAGAATTGTGCCACCAGGGGAGGATTTGAAAAGGGCCAAAAAGCCCAATGCAATGCACTGGGCTTTTTAATAGCATTAGAAAATAAGCATTGCTATCTTTGAACCAATACACTTATTTTTAAAACACGCACTTTCAGTTTGTCCTGTAAGATTCGGCTGCACTGTTTTCATTTTGTGTAATGCTTTTTCAACAAAATAGCCTTTTCTGTCGCTTTTAAGTCAGTAGTCGGGGTTATCGGACTTCGGAATGGACGGCTCAAATTGAAATGATGTTCAGTCAGTTTAAAAGGTCCTTTGGGAACTTGCCACCAGTACAATTCTGCCGTGCTGACTGTGCTGATGTCAACTGCCGTGTCATCCTTGCTGGCACCGGCTGCCGAACAGTCCGCGCTGACGTCAGTTGACGTGCTGGCTGTGCTGGTGCCGGCTGTTTTGCGGGCCGTGCCGCCCGTGCTGCCGTGCCGGCTGCGTTGGCCGCGCTCATATGGGCTCCTGTGCTAGTTGTACTCACACCGGCCGCCGTGCTTGCACCGGCTGCCGTGCTTGAGCCGGGTGCCGTGCCGGCCGTGCTGACATCGGCTGACATCGGCTAACGCCGCCCCGCCCCGCAGAACGGACGGCGGCTACAGCACGTTCGACCCGGCCGACGACGCCATCGACGCGCGGCGCATCGTTTACTGCCTGCACGGCGACGAGCTGACGGCCTGCGAGCAAGGATGCTCTCAGGAGCGCATCGACGAGCTCCAGCGGCTCCGGCAAGGTGAGCCCCGCGAGCCGGCGCCGAACACGGCTGCGGCGGCCTCGGCTCTCTGGAGAGTTCGGCGACGTGCGGCGGTGCGCGGTTGTGCTCAGCCGTGGGTCCTCCCTGACGGTCACGAGCCCGTCGGTGTGTGATATGTTCCAGGGTGTGTTGGTGCCGTGCTGCTCCGCATTTGAGAGGTAACGGACAGTGATAGGATTTCTTAGCTATGTAAAATATTAGCGCTAGGTGAGTGCAGGCTAGTTGAAATCGTGCTCTGCTTTGCAACGGTGCCGAATACGGCATGAAGCTTACACCTTACCATGTGTCAGCAATTGTTTTTTTCCGCAATTGCGTGGAAATACCCATTGTCCCAAATTAATCGGTCCACACGGGGGCATTTCATGCATCAGGCACAGGAACATGCCTTATGCATCGTGTATGCATGGCGCTCGACCGTATTCGTGGTCATTGATGGAATGCCCGAGAGTAACCCCTTCATGCGTCCTTAACAATATTGCCGGCATGGACATTTAGCCGTTTTAAAGTACTGCTACGTGAAATATGCTGTAACGTGGCACAATGTGTTTATTATTCACGTGTAAATATTCCGGGTTCTTATGTTACTGAAGCAATTACATTTAAAACAAAGTTGTGTCTTAACTGAGCTTTACACTGGGCGCAGTTACAGGAAACGCATGCGGACGCGTCTGAAATACGCATGAGGACGCGTTAAAAATGGCGCGTCACCACACGTTTTTGGTGCGAATGTTTTTTTTGTTTTGTTTTGTTTTGTTTGGTCCACGTTTGCATGGGTTTAGACAGTGCACGCCCGTGTTCGGGAAAGTTGGACACGGTTTTCCTTTTGAAGCGTCCAGACGCGATTGGAAGGGTCAAATGGAACTTCGGCGAATGTGGCGTGGAAAATTCAATAGCGGTGCAGCGATCTCGAAGCGTTGGTTTGGTCACGTTTTACGTGCTATTGTTAGCTGCCATGGGTGTACAATGTGGAATATGCGGCGTGCTGCTGGTCAGAACTTTAGCAGGTCCCAGAAGTATACACCTAAGGAGAGCCCGACATTCAACAGGTGGTACTGGCACTCGGTAACTTGCGTTTTGCCTGTCAGGTTTGAGGTGATCCGCGCTATCAGTTCATCAAGCCATGCATGAATCAGTCTGCCTGCTGTGGCATGGCTGCGAATCTTCACGTCGCGTTGCGCCCATGGATCTGCTCCCCATATTCGTCCCTTGTTAAAGGGAGTGTCCCACGTTTGGGATATATTTCAAGAAACACTCTAGTGAAACCTGGGGACCAATTACGTCTATAATGGCACTGGGTAGTGCCACTGCAGCACCTTCAAGACATGCATGGATATTGATTATAAATAAAGTCAGGTACAAATTACGCTTTCAACGCTCTGTAACAACACTTCACTTATTTCCTGCAGTTTTTACTATCGCCGTCGTTATGACAACCGCCGTAGCACCTCCATTGGTACGAACAAAAGAGCGCTTGTGATTGGCCCAGCGAGCGGCAAGGGCCTCTTACCGAGAAATGCATTGGTTTGAGTTTGAACCGGTGCGCGTCACTATGGGCGATGTGATGCTCCTATTGGCAAAGCGAAAGTGCGCCTCGAAAAGAGCCACTAGTAAACGCCAAGGAAAAAATAAAAGCCAGAGCATAGCGTTTCGTTGAATTCGCGAGGTAATAGCTTTATGTTTGCATATATGTTTTGTCTAAACAGTGTCTCAAACTTGCGTAGCATTTATTAAACAAACATTTTGACAAAGTGGTGTGTTGCGAACATTCAAGCATACACGCGTTAGAAAATGTTAGACATGTGAAATGTATTACTTCCATAGTGGTGAGCAGGGAGTCCAATTATATTTCTTCCTAGGCGTGGGTATTTCAAATCGACATTCAGCTATTAGAGGGACTCAAGGAAACTGGTATAACTGATCAAATCGCAGCGTCTGATCTCACAATAAGTGAAAAAACAAAATGGTAGCATACTTCCTTTGAGGGGAGTGCCTGAAATGAATGAAAGATATTGAAGCTAGCCGCAGGTTTGATTCAGTACACAAACTTATAAATATAAGTGCACTTTGAATCGGAAGGGACTGATCTAGACTACAAAATTTCTCTTTTTGGTAAATATGGTCCTCAAAACGTTATTGCTTGATTGTGTCACAAAAGCTTTGCGTGACGTTCAGGAACCGCCAAACAAGCCGTACGAAAGTGCCACTTGAAGTACTTAAAACTCGTCGAGAGATGTCAGTACGGGCTTGAAGTGTTCGCTGAACCAAATATTATTAGGTATTCGTGCTTTGGCCCATTGTCGTAGTGTCCCTGCGTATTTGTTCGTGAGTTTAAGATGCTCACGCTTATTCACATGCTCGGTTATGGTGTCGTTCTTAGTTATTCAACTTAAATATTACTTTCGTGATAACTAGCAAGTGAAGAAATCATGTTCAAATTCTAGCATTATGTGACAAAAAACTTGATTCGTGATTAAATTTGCACAGCTTGCTCAACAATGCTTGAGAGCCAAAAAAAGTTCACTTTATTTGGAAATCGGGCTCACGGACGCCAGATATGAACGACCGGACGATAATAGTCTCCCTGGTCTTGAATGCCGCCTGGCCTCTGGGTGGCGGGATTTCATTGACGTTGCTATGGCGTCATGCATGCCTGAATGATCTTGGAATAGTCCGCGCGAAAAAATCTGCATATCTTCGCGGGCGTGTAGATCAGAAGCTGGATAGTCCTAGATCTTCGGAAGGAGGGAGCTGGGAACTGCACTGAATGATCTTTAAAATGGCTACGTCAGCTCAAAACCCCATACAAAAGTGGAACACTCCTTCTTACCATTCCGCTCTGGTCCAAGCTCTTCTCGAAGCGGGCCGTCGACTTCCGAGGAAGCCAAGCATCAGAATATAGGCTCCATCCGTAGTGGTCAGTATCTGGAGAGTGGGTGTAGTAATCTTTCAGAGAGAGGCAAGGGTTAATGATGACTTAGACAAGACCTAAGATGACTTTCGCCAAGTGCAAACATGCATGACTGTCTGTGCAAGGGACACGCCAGCTTCCTGATTCTTGTGTATTATGGCAACCCGTAATACACAAGAAACCACCCTGAAAGCCTCTCTGATAAACCAAACCACTCACGCCAACCATCAGAAATAAAATCCAGAACCACGCCAGCCCAGAACTGCGCAGTACCTCCGCCGGCGGATCCTGGCCAGGCCGGAGCCAGTAATGTTCCAGAACAATTTAACAACGCTTCTCTCCGCTGGCTGGCCTATAGCCTTGGCTTGCAGCCCCGCAATCATACCGCACGACCTCACCACTCATGCTCCTCGATCCACCGCTGTTAGTGGGGACAGTTACCCGTGGTAAGCTATGGTACCGTAAATGTGAAGAAACGTGAACAAACTCCCTCCAGTAGACAACGACTGTCAAACGCCTGTCATCACTGCTACTCACACTTGCTTGAGATTGTTCACATCATATAACGACAAGCCCGGGGCGATACATGGCAAGCCATATCGGTATCGCCGTAGCGCGCGACATTCGCAACGTTGACTGCTACCTGACAAACCCGACAGCTGCGAACGGTCAACTTGCGACGCAGGCCGCGTTTGGGAAAACTCTGGTCATCTATGTTCCTGACGCAGGAGGACATGGGTCCGCACGGGTTATGTTTATGCGTAACCGCGTCCGGTGTGGAACCTGCTTTACCCGCAGGCAAAATTGCAATAAGTCACGCTGGGCAGAAACAAAATGAATTGTGAACGCTCAGGTCCCTGCAGCGTTTGGGTGCTTCACAATATTTAGCACAACTTCACATTCGTGACTAAGGACAAAATGTGGGAGCGAAAGCTCATTTGTTAAGCACTGATGGGGTGGCAATGAGGTACTGGTCCGCTGTGGTATCTGGAGGCCAGTAGCCATCATTGACAGTAATTGCCTGGTTTATTTATATTAACTGCCTCGCGGCTAGACCGCAGTAACGTCACTGTAGTGACGTCAGTCCAGCCCCGGGGTGAGTCTCTCTTGAGCTGTGTCATATCCATGACAGAAGTGGGTGCCCATATGCGAAGCAGAGGTTCCTGGTACACCCGGGATGTTCGGTTTTGTCGTATCGGGGTCCTCCGAGCGCTGTCAGACCGGAGACAGTCGCTTCAGCTGATAGGGAGCTGATAGGCCGGGCAGTTGTTTGTGAACGACAGAGATAACGGAAGCGGAGAGCAGCAGTCCCTGGCTAGCGAAAGCCAGCGCAGGGTTTTCTGACAAGAGGACAACCCGAGCAAAGATACACGGGTCCAAGCATAGTCAGTGGCTTGCGTAAGCATGCGCTGGAATACGGGAACTAAATTCAATGGTTGAGCGATAGGTAGCCGTAAACCCAGTATCTCAGTTAACTCATCCCCCAACTTCTGATTTAAATTAATTGAATTAAACCGTGTGGTTTGAATGACGCAAATAATCGTCCCGCTAGTATGCACAAGGCTGAGCGGTCCCGATATTTTCCCTGAGTTCCAACTTTCGCGGTCATGTTCCGGAACTGCCAGAACTTTTAAATTGACCGTTATTGTTTTTTTGTGAATCGCTTGGTAAATGTCAGTCGTAAAGGGAATGTTTTAACTTAAATGTCGGTAATAAAAGATCGAGGCATGACTACAGCCTACGCTGGACCCAGTCATGCTGTTGGTAGCATTACGTTTGCAGACGTGCGGGAGTTAGCACGACTTTTCAAACGAGGGAATCCGGGCTTTTTGCGTAATATTACTCATGACAGTTCATGCAGCCAGTCGCCGACCGGCAGCGGCGTTGGCGACCAGGCCGTCGCCGCTTGCTGTCGCCGCTCCTGGCCACGCACGTGTGCTACTCCAATACACACAGAACAGCACCAAAGGACTACCATGCCATGCCCCGGCGGCCACCGGCATAACGGGCGCCGTAGCTGGCGAAGCGTGGCAAACGTAACGTGGCTGCATCGTCACGGTACCTTCTGTTA